ATTAAGCCATTTAAAAACAGAAAATAACATCTTAAAATGGACAGGAAGCCAGTGGAGGGAAGCCAGAATTGGTGTGATGTGTTCATGCTTGCGTGTTCCTGTAAGCAGCCGAGCCGCAGCGTTTTGTACCAGCTGCAGGCGTGCCAGCGAGGTCTTGTTTAGGCCGGCATAAAGTGCATTACAGTAATCTAGACGCGTAGAAACCAAGGCATGAATTACACGCTCAAAGTCTAAAAAGGATAAAACTGGTTTAATTTTGGACAGGATCCTCAGGTGATAACAACTGGACTTAACCACTGAGTTTCTGTTTAAAAGAACTTTCGATTTTGACGCCCAGATTTGTGACCATGGGTTTTGCATACGGGTGCAGGGAACCCAGGTCAATGGAAGGGACATCACCATTTGGTCCAAACACAATGACCTCCGTTTTGCTCTCATTTATATTTAAAATGTTTAGCGCCATCCAGGCCTTTATGTCATTAAGACAGTCAACCAGGGGCATCAGAGAGCTGGTGTTTTTTTTTAGGGGTAGGTATATTTGGGAGTCGTCCGCATAAAGGTGGTAGGAAACGCCATGTTTTCTAAAAATTAGTCCAAGGGGGAGAAGGTATAAAGAGAATAAAATGGGCGCCAAAATAGAACCTTGGGGAACTCCACAGGATAGGGGGGCAGAAGACTATAAGATAGGGGGGCAGAAGAAGATAAGATAAGATAGGGGGGCAGAAGAAGATAAGATAGGGGGGCAGAAGAAGATAAGATAAGATAGGGGGGCAGAAGAAGATAAGATAAGATAGGGGGACAGAAGAAGATAAGATAGGGGGGCAGAAGAAGATAAGATAAGATAGGGGGACAGAAGAAGATAAGATAGGGGGCAGAAGAAGATAAGATAGGGGGGGCGGAAGACGATACAAATTCACCAATCTTAACAGAGAAAGATCTCTGGGACAGATAGGACCTGAACCACTCTAAGGCAGTGCCCCTGATACCCACAGAGTGCTCTAGACGAGAGATAAGGATGGAGTGGTATATACATTATATACTGTATATATAAGAGTGCTATACGGTAATTATCTAGTTTTGGCTCTGAGCAGATTAAAAAGCATCAAAGAGCACATATGATGTTCATGTTAGCCTTTGCAGACCATTTACATTCACAAACACCTGTATAACACAATACAGGTTAGAGAAAACCCCTTTAAGCCTAAAAGGGCCCCTTTAAAAATGTTGTAGACAGTTTTACCAAAATGTGTACTGACATTTGTTTCTATGCGTGTGTTTCAGGCTGTCTAAGGTTCTGTTTCCTCCGATTCCTCGCCCCCCACAAAAGTACAAACATTTCCTGGAAAGAAATTACACATTCAATGTAAGTAAATACTGTACACCTGACGTAACATTTAACCCAACCACAACCACTTGTGTAACGATTGTTTCAATGTTTTTGTGTGTGTTGTAAACAGTTGTTCCTCCCTACCCCGTCAGCTGACCCTGCGGAGGAGATCACAGAGGTGGAGGACACGGAGCAAAAGACATTGTAAAAGCTCAATCTGAAAGACACATTAAAAAAAAACGCCTCAGGTATACGCTTGACATTGTGCATTTTTATAATATATATTTGAGCAACAAGCATAACTGTGTTGAGTGCATGCAAACGTTTGTTTTCATGTCACATTTATGTTACTCATTTCCTTTATAACACCAGAGTCCAGTCAGGCCAACATGTTGGTTAAAGTTCTGCAATACTTTCAAGACATTTTAAGAGGTATAAATGTGTATAGCAATATGACTTTAAAGGTCAACTATAGTGCACAATCCACTTTTTCATGTCCTTTATACATAAACATGTGTCCCCTCTGCACCAAGAGATTCTGAAAGTTTCAGGAAAAAAGATGGCGCATTTCCACTGCAGGGCCTTGCACGGTTTAGTACGGTATAGTTAGGCCTTGGTAGGCCAGAATCACTTTATGCTGCGTTTCCACTACAGTTTAGTAGCTGGGGCAGTAACTATAGTAACATCTTCAATGTGAACCACAAAACCAAACATCAGCCGTTAGCTGTTAGCACTCATATCTGTTCAGAAACTAGAAGTTAAACAAGTACAAACCACAGACTGTCTGTGTCATGGCGAATACAGTCGCTGGTTTATTTATGTCTATAGGCCGTTGTTGTGAGTGTGGACGGTCGGAGCATATACTGCGTTAGCTTAGCCGATCTCCATTTAGAAAACACGCATTTTATAAGGTTTTTCGCCAGACTTGTCAAAGCATTAATTCATGGTTTTTACTAACCGGTATCAGTATGTTGTTACTTCGGCATCATTTAGAAACGTATTATAATTAAATCAAGGTAAAATATGTTCATTGTGTTGCAGTTGTAGCCACTCACGTCACTAGTTTAGCATATTCAGCCTGATTGTTGGCCCGGAAAGAACCTGGATTTTGGAGGGCCAGAAAAACTCTGAAAAGGTACCCGTTAGCCGGAACTACCTCTAGTGGAAATGCAACAAAAAACGGGCCGGGTTTTGCACGGCACGCTTAAACCGTGCTACGCGCTGCAGTGGAAATGCGCCATTGGAACACCACATATCTGGCAGAGTGACGTGGGGAGTGGCCCCTTATTTTCATCTATAGTAACAGACCCAGAATCAGCCCTTTTGAAACAGGGGTTTATGGCATCCTACAATGGGTGATCTGTTTGGTATTTCGAGCCAAACACTTCAGAGATATGTTTTGTATATAACTGAGAACTATAATATATTGATAAAAAATTGTTTAATAGGTGACCTTTAAATTATGCTTAGACTATCATGTAAAAATACATTTTACCTTGCTTGGTCATTGACTTGTTCAATTTTTGGTTCTTTGATTTAAACAAAAGGGAAGTGTCAGTTAAAGAGTTTGGTTGAAAAAGACTCTGCTCTGCCTAAACTTACTGGTTAAATGAACCTGAAATGTCAATGCAGCGCTTGTACTTAATGTGTTGTACGTTTTTGTATAATAATTAAAGTTGATATGTTGTTATATCGTGTGCTCCTTTGGACCGATTTTATTTATATATCCTAGTTATACATGGTGTTCAAATGGGAGCCAGGAAAAAAACAGCAAAAGCATAACTCAACATTTAGACAACGAAAACACAAATAAAAGCACACAGACACAAGTGTTTGGAGGGGCACCAAACCAGTTTAATGAAATTCGAAAAAAATAATATTGAAATTAATTAACTTTAAAAATCCCTTATCGTGAACATGGGAGCCAGTAGAGCCAGTTACACAATTTTGGCATTTTCAATAGATTTAATCCAGCAAGTCAGTCAAACTGAACAGGGTTAATAAAGCTGTTTCATAAACCAGACCCTTAGCTAATAAGCTAAATTAAGTTTGGTTTAAAAACATAATTAAAAAATGTAAAATTACATAAATTCCCAACAAATTCTTTCTTTCTTTTTTTAAAAACATAGACCAGCTAGCATGACACATTTCTTCTTAGGTATGCACCAACCCCACTTTTCTGTCCATGTTTTATTGGGTACCGGCCGATACCAAGAACAGATCCAGGGTCAGTGTTTATTTGATACCCTTGTATAAGCTGTGTAAAAATGACTAGGGACATTATTTTATGTGTAAGGCAATATCAGACAGGAAGAGAATAATGTATAAGGGCAAAAATAAGCAGAAATGTGTTTTCTCGCAATTGTGTTAAAAAAAAAAAAGATAAAGGAGAAGTTTAAAAGAAGGGATAAGATCAGACTGAGCTTGTTTTTGCACATCAATGTGGGTTCAAGTCAAATGGTACTTCCTACAATTATGGGTCAGAGTTGTTTATTATCTTTATGACAGTGCATTTTACACATTAAAAGTTGGGTGGAATACTTTGCTGATACTTGTATGTGATAAGTACAGCCTGTGCTTTTACACAACTACTGTAAACAACTGTAACCGTCAATTCCATCTTTATTTACAATTTGGACTTTTAAAGGGGCCCTATTACGCTTTTGGGGCTTTCCCTTTCCTGTAGTGTGTTATAAAGGTTTTTTTGCATTTAAATGGTCTGCAAATACTTAAATGCCAAAGTTCCTGCAGAGGCAGTTTCTCTCCCTCAGATTTTCTTTTACATTCTTATTATTTTAAGCACTAACTATCGTGCTAACCTGCTTCAATTCTGACCTCGACTTATTTTCGATAGTAAATATAAAATGATATTGCACAATATTCTCATCTATCTTTTTTCCCCTCCCCTCCTTCTTATTATTCTTTGGCCTGCAGTGAGTCGATGGCTTGGAGCTCTGCAGAAAACCTTTCTCCCAGATCTCTGTTGGCCTGGAGGAAGCTGCTCAGACTCTTCAGCTGCTCAGTGTCCTAAGGAAGAAACAGAGTCGGCCCAAGTCATGTGAAATCTTTCTATATATGTATTATGTCTGAGTGTGCATGTGAACTGTTTTGTTCTTTGCACCTGTGTATCGTGATCAGCAGCGTGCAGTAACTCCTGCAGCCTCTCTTGTAGCAAGTCAGCTTCCCATTGTCTGATTAAGTCAGGGCTGGGCTCCCTTTGGTTGACAGAATCACACTCCAATCCATCCATGACGGCAGAATCGATGAAGTCCAAACCCGAGACATGTATTGACAAATCAACAGACAGCATCTGGACAAACAGAACTCACAGTCACACAAACTGCGATGCAAAAAAACATGGCTGCAGCTGTGACATCATAACAGTATTTACTTATTGGGAACAATGACCAAATAATTAACTAATAACAGTATATACTTTTGAAACACAATACAAAGACGACTTTAACATAACATAAACATTGTTACCTCTTCTAATCTCATTTTGTTGATGATTGGAGCTCATTTTTCAATGTTTTAAATTCAAATCCTATCCTAATTGGATTCTCAAACACTAACTGTGACGATATAAACATGCTTAGTAGTTTACGATAAAAGACGAGACAAAATAATTGTGTTTAGAAATCTTCTTTATTTAATCTCCTTCCATCCCCTTTTCATTTTCCCTTTTTTTAAAAGTATATATTTTAAGTAAACCCGTCTGTCTCAAGGTTGCAAGCTGGGGGCAATTTGAGAGGATGACATAGGATAAAATGTTGTTTGACTGAAACGACAAAAACAGTTTTTGATAAACTAGATTGACTTATTTGACTAAAGAGACACAGCCGTACTGTAGTGTAGGGGGCTTGGCCTGGGAGCCGTAGGGTCACCGGTTCAAGTCCCCGAACAGGCCTTACTATGGAGTGTGGACTGGTACTTGGAGAGGTCCTAGTTCACCTCCTGGGCCCTGCCATGGGGCCCTTGAACAAGGCACTGGACCCCACCCCATTGCTCCCCTGGCAAGTACAATAGCTGCCCACTGCTCCTATTACTAGGATGGGTTAAATGCAGAGGTCCAATTTGACTGTGTGTGACAAATAAAGAGGGTCTAATCTAATCTAAATCCAAACATGCTCACCTCCTCGATCTGTTTTCCAACTTCTGCCATCTGTTGCACGTTGCTGAACTGCCGCATGAGCTTTGTCAAAGCATTCTGAAAGTGTGTCATCCATTCATCTTTCACACGCAACTCACAGGAATGCATCAACTCGTTCCTGTAACGAATCACCTGGAACATCGCACATGTTGGTCTGAATATATGTGTTTTTTCACTCTCTGTCTTAATGCCCATTTGAAACTTTTTGACCGTTTACCTCTCTCACAACTTTTGGATCCACAGACAGGAAACAGTCACAGTAGTTGATCAGGTTGAGCAGAGCTGAGGGATCACATTGATCGGTCCCCTTCACTTTCCCCTGACCCCGAGGCATGTAGGCCTGGAGAAACAGAAACAGAGACAGACAGAGGATGAATCCACAGATCATTTTGAGATTATTACATTTTACTATGTTGCACATTGACTTCACTTCTGCTGATTATGTCTTCTATAAATTGCATGTATCCATCACTTTTAGACACTTCTAAATGCTGCATGTAGTTTTCACTTTACTGCACAGACACACAGAACTGAGTCAGTTAATTGGTTATTGTGACAATTAATATAATGATTTGTTTGTGATGAATTGATTAGTTGATCAAAACATAACAATTAACACATCTTTATAATAATTATTTCAATTAAATAAACCAGAAAATTTCCGTCTCCTGCTTCACAGACATCTGTATTTTATACTTGTCTTTCTCTCCTATGAATTAAAGATAATTTGTAATGTTCTTTTTACTCTACTCTTTCACAATGTATATAAAATGATATGATTATATTTAATGACATTAACATCAGATTTAAGTTAAGTGTGTGTCGAGTAGTCTGTGGATTACCTTGGCCAGTTCCCAGTGGTCTGTTCTCCAGTTGGTAGGGTAACAGTTATCCCAGTTCACTGTGGCTTCTGGCTGTCGGTGGTGTCTCAGGATCACTTTCTGCCACTCTGAACATGTCCTGCATGCTGAGGAGAGCTACATACACACACACACACACACACACACACACACCCCATAATTATGTTGCACCCTCCGGCGGCCAGCTGTTGGCCGGTCTCGTACCCCGACCTCCCGGGTGAAGCAGCCGCACCCTACCCATTGAGCCACCCACTGTCTATGAACAACATCCTCCTTGGTCCTTACACTAACAGGATAACAATACCACGCCGACGAAGTGGGCCCCGTCGCCCCATGCTCTGGCCGGTTTGGTCGGACCCGCGGCGCTGGGACCCACGTGGGGAGGGATGTATTAAGTACCCCATCAATTCCTTTTACACCCACCTACCAACCCACGACCAAAAAAACTCCTTCCATGCGTTTCACACCCTTGTAGCATACCCTCACAGGACATTACTTTCACCCCTACTGTCCTATCCTGTAACACCACCTCACACAACATCAGTCAGGTCTGTTACCGTGCCCCCGTCCCAATCCAAAAGAATCGACTAGGAGTCCATCACAATACCCAAGGCCATACCTTAACAACTCGGTGCCGGATCCCCAGACCCTACCCAGCAACACATAGAAGTACATTACAGACTCTCTCACACACAATACACAGAATCTGTCACCACCGAAGTTACCACAAACAGCGCCCGCCGCGATAAGAGGTGGGCCGAGTCAGACGCGGCCTATGCCTCGGAGAGATGTAGGTGTGGGAACGACGACATCACTTGGGCGGTTGGTCACAGCGAACACCAGCGACCACCCTACTAGCCAAACTTAATGAATAAACAGTCCACTATCACATTCTACTTTACACCACCCTACACAACCATCAATCGTAAAAAACTCGCGCTTTCAACAAGGGATAACCGCGTTACTTCTGTATACCCTCCAGACACGGCAGCGTTACATATGTTTTCGGCAGCCCTAATGAACCATATCGCTATAAAGCATACAGCCCTCACACCAACGACAAATTCGCGCATTCAGGTCTGAGTTACCGTGCGTCGGTTATCACAACCAAACACCACGATCACCCCCCAGCAGAGATCTCACACGGGGCCTGTATTACTCCGCTTACAAATTCGTGAGCACGGAGCACACTTCCCCAGAACGCCACAGAAAATGTACCACAGAGAGCGCGCGAGGAACAATAGGGAGCGAAGTCGCAGACAATCACCTGCTGAGGGTTCGCATCGAAATCAAACAGATGGCTGGTCACGGCACATACTCTTCGCGAGGTCTATCCATCTACACTACGGCAGAGGAAGTGGGCCTCTGCCATATATCACTCTTCTTCCATCTCGCTCTCGCCGCGGTTGTCGACCCGCGCGGTCTTGGTACGCCTCGACACGTCGTATTGAATTACCACATCACATTCTCTTTACACCACAGCAGGTATAGATTCTCACGGCAAGAGAGATCCCGCGCGCCGAACAGAACGCGCGTTGACGCGATTGCGGCCAACTGGTTCCACACGCACCGCGGCTATCTAAGGAGTAGATACGACCGAGACGGACAAGCATTTTGTCACGCAGACATTACTTTCCACCCCTACAGACTAGTGCTATCCTTCTTATACAGGACTCCCCTCATTCTCACCGTGCAGGGGTCTGTGTCTGGCCTACCGTGCCCCGGTCCATATAGCCAAAACCAAGAGATCGAGCGGGCAGATCTGGGTGGCGTCTCTCACCAAGGCGATAACTCGGTCTGACGAGAGAGCACCGGCTCCTTCTTCTAGACACCCTTACCCCTCCTCACACACAACACCCAAACTCGCCCGGCCTCAAACAATAGCGCACTCACATGTCCTGGTTCCTCCTAACAACAAGTATCCTGTCTACCCACCGAGTTACCACCCTTCGTTACAGTCCCACGACACCCTTACCCCGCACTCGACTCTACACGCTTCTTCCCTCACTCACCGCAAAGGTACAAATACGTAACGTACACG